TATATATATATATATATATCATCCGCGCCCAGTGGATTTGTGGTAAACTTGAACCGAAACTGTTGATCAGGTGGTAGTTGATTTGTTCGCGGAGCCCGGGGATTGGGTCGCAACGTTTCGTAGTCGGTGCGCCAACAGTCAGTAAACCCACCCGAGCTACCAATATTTATTCCGTCCTTAAAGGCTTAAAATGCTGACCAAAGTAAACGTAGGTTCTAACTTCAAAGGCAGAAAATCACAAAACAGAATCTTTCTACATTGAGTTGAAGAGGTGAGATCTGTCTAAAATATGTCACTGTTATAATGGTTTAGTGAACGCAAGGCATTGTTTTACCCTGTAGGATTGCATGAAAAAGCGGTTCCGATGATTTCGTAATGACTGAACCTAACTGTTATAGACCATATTTAAAACAATCCGTCATTCTGTGCTTGCACAACCGAACGCCACCTAAGAGCTGGCAGAAATGTGCAGAGCAATACGACATTTCGATCCTCTTTAACTTGTCCTTCCCGTTTAATTTGCTTCTTCTGTGTTCGCCTACTGTAATCTTCTAAAGGATTTTGAATCTTGGATATGGGATCATCGTACTGTGACTTGGATACTGTCCAGAGAGTATAGGGTCAGTTGGCATGCGAGAGCTAAATGCCCAACGTTTGCTAAACCCAAATGATCACAGAAACTTTGTTATGGCATTCCGTAAGCGAATTGGACCAAATGTGTTGTTTATTCTACGGTGTTTATGATCTTTTCGGTGGTTTAGTATCAGCGGAAATGCATGGTCCGTCCATACATAAAGCTCCTGCTAGACCAGTGTAGTTCGTCCGTAAAACAACTCAGTCACGTGAGTAATTAAACCCGCATTGGGGTTCATCTGTTCAACCACTGTTTTTACCGCCTTAACCTATGGCTCGTTGCACCCAGAACAACATCCGATTCCACCGTTCACCAGGAGACAAGCTCGAGCAAAGTGTCACTTGGTAAATATGTCAGAATAAACAACTAATTATTCATCTTTTCGTTGCAAACCAGTTTTCCCCATTGATTCCGATACCCCGCATTTAAATTGACTTTGGAAGCACTTCATAAGTACTACTTATCTATTTTCTGCCGAAAGTTCGTGTTTTGGACGTGTTTCTTTCGAGCAAATCAGTGCTTCTGGTCGTTTGACAATCGTCAAGGATACATCCATATTTTTGGTCATCTAACAGTCATTTCCCTAGTTAGACAGTATATTAGTGGGCTAAATGGTCAGTTAATAACCGACTTACTTCAAGGTCACCTTACACCCCGTAGTTCATGTTTGACTGTTTGACACGTATTTTGATGGAACGTCGGTATACATGTCATTTCACCATCGCTCTATGTGACAGCAGTAGTGTTACTGGGCTACTTGAGGGTGGGTAGCTAACCAGTAGGACCAAGTTATCGAATTGTCCTTTCCTGTGCGTCCAAATAAACATGTCTAGCTATTACAAGGAACGTGATTGAAGAACAAGTATGCAACAGCGACACATTGTAATATAACCAGTTTTTATCCGCCGTGGACTACCTTACCCCCTGTTTGATGCATTCATTGAACATCACTCTTTTGCGCAGACCAATTTGAAGGCGATGTTTGAGGCAACATTGGTAGTCTTCCTTCTCCATACACTGCTACAAATTGGCTAACCATGACTGTCCATTTACTGCCTATAAACGAGCAATCTTCATCTAAAGTGGGCGGACATTTTTGGCACCTGTTCAAGATTTGTCGCTCTATTGCAAAGGAAACCATCAATTATACATTTCAACGTTCCTAACTTATTTTCGATACGTAATCTTGAAATCGCTCTTCGTTGAGTGCCCGGTATTGATGCGAATACCTTTCGTGAAGCTCAGTGTAGTAGAGTAGCCTCCAGACACTTTACTTGGAAGCCTATAGGTTTTGTTGGTATTAGTTATCGTCGCCTAGTTCAGATACAGAAATTCGCAATGATCAATCCGCAAGCTGCTGAATAGGAAACGTGATAGTGTATCACACTGTACTTCTCCAGACTAGAACTTGACGACAGACCCCTTATCAGAGGTCTCTTTGTGTGACGCAGTCTTCTGTTAACGCAAAAAAAGCTAGTTTTTGAACTTGAGTAAACACTTCTGCACTCTACTACTGAAAGGAAGAGGCCTTCGCTACTGTACTTCTCCAGACTAGAACTTGACGACAGACCCCTTATCAGAGGTCTCTTTGTGTGACGCAGTCTTCTGTTAACGCAAAAAAAGCTAGTTTTTGAACTTGAGTAAACACTTCTGCACTCTACTACTGAAAGGAAGAAGGCCTTCGCTGCGGAGTTATTTATTCGGAAATGCAAAACGAAATTCTACGAACAACACATACTACTCGCGTGCCTCCCGATCAGTAGCATCACCGTGACACTACTACTCCACCTCTAAGCGAGAAAAATTCCACGGTCCCACTGTATCATTTCGGTTTTTTTCTCTTCAGGTGTCGAGATTTCTGCCAACCAACATGAACTGGACGATACAGCAATTTTCCAGCTTGAATATATCGGCGGGAAAGGTTTCAACTCGAATGATGCAATTGCCTCCTCAAACTCAGCTCCTCAGTCCCCGAGTGGTGATCCTGCACCCTTATCGACCGGGTCATCAGCGACAAATGGCATGACTCCTGGAATATTTTGTTTGGTCACGGGGTATTGGCGCCTCCGTGCACGAAGTGGGAAACTCTGGTTGATGGCACCTTCTGCCGGTGTGCAGAGTACCGGCTCAGACGGGTAAATGTTTTTTTTCGAATGTCATTCTTTTCTAGAGTAGACGGAAAAATTGGGCTTATTCTACATACTACGGATGGTCACCCTGTTAACTACCTAGCCACAGTAGCTCTTTGTATGGGGAAGTTACTTATTTATTTAATGAAACGAAATTTGTCTTCTGGTGAGCGTGGTCTTACCACTTTTCTCCCAATAATCAAGTAGCAACTGAAGGCCAGAATTGCATTTCTCGTGAAGTATGGTGGTGAACGCACTACGCAATAGCGGGGTTAACCGAAACATGCATGAGCAGTGTATCGGGAGCAGCCTTCACGCGAGTAAGCTGTCACATGAAGTGTAGAACGAAGAACGTTTCCTCCCTAAATCGCGAGTTTTCGGACCTGCTTAGCATGTCCCAGCAAAGCACTGTGTCCAGTGAGATGATCGTGGGTGACCGAAATTGTTGTTCGCTTGTTTTGTGTTGACCCATTCCAGAAAGTCGTATAGACCACTGACCATTTTATTTTATTTTTCTAAGCTAGTCACAACAAATGCAACATTTGGGTGTCGAACTGGATCGCATATGGATGTTATCTTACGCTCTCGGTATGCTATGCGTATCATTAACTGACGTCCCGGGGCATCATACCGGGCCATTCTCATTGAGTCTGACTATCCGTTATTCGTGTCCTGTTGGAAACCCAGAACCGTTAGTAGTATGATGCAGTGAATGAATAAGGCAAGCTCGCGACTGGCCCGTCATCAGGTTTAGTAAAAAAGGAAGCTTCGTACACCATTCAAATATCAGTAAGAACACCTTCCTCAGTAGCGGTGTTACTGTGAAATATAATTCTGCCTGCTGATTCGCCGGATAACAACGTCTTGGGTCACCGGATCCGTTAGGCGTTTGCATTCACACGTGTACGCCCTAGTTCTGACTACAAAGGCATTTATCAACCACCGTAGCCTTGTGTTGGTAGCAGGATTATGGCGCTACTGTCACCAGAGATCGTTAGGCTCACAGGCTTGGTGATGATCGCTGCAGGACTTTTGTGATGGGAGGATAGTTAAAGCCATCTTTTTCGCCCATATTTCCCTAGGCATTTTACACCTGGCTAACCATGGGCTTAGTGATCACGTCTAGGCTGTGTCTGGCGTTTTCTGTTTTTTTTTCAATCGCTTATAACGTTTTTTCCAGACAGTTTTCTTACGGTGAACTTCTACGGGGTAAAAGTGTTTTTCATGAAGCTTTTCGGAGCTCTTTTATAAGAACATTTCCACTGCGCAAAATACCGTGATTTTCCCACAAAGTCCGTACCATTTTCCATGGTTTATGCGTACTGATCGCGGATTTCGAAACTCTCGTGCATAAGCTCTTTGGTTTGGGACAAATCGAATTCCGAACATCCTGTTTGTTTCATTGCATCTGATCCACTATGATAAAATATTTGGCGGTCAACATTTAATCACGTGGAAAGTATTAGAACTGCGAAATTGGACTACTTGTGGCTTTGATCTTCCGATACTCGATGATGATATGACAGCTTGGCGCTAAATGTTCCTTGTTTGTTTTTAAGAACTGAGTTAACAGCTCAACAATCCATGAAACAGGGGGTGAGATGACTCAGTGGTTAGATCGCAAATTTACGGACTGGAAGATCCGTGGTTCGGACCCGACCTCTGCATCTCGACTTCTCCTGTCTAGGCTTGGGCAGTATCCCATCCCTCGTGCTCCCTTCTGGTGGGATAGCAGTTAGGCACCGAAAGGGTGCTACAGCTGAATGATTTTGATCGATGAGAACCGCCTAGTTGCATGGTTGTGTACGGTCTTTTTCAATAGCATTAAGGGACAAGACCGCTTGTCTTACCTTCAGGATTGTTCGTCTTTGAATTTCATTCACGACTGTGAATTTTTTATGGTAGCAAGCTATAGAGTTTATATTTACAGGAACCTGTTGTGCCTTATCTGAAAAATACATTAAAAATCCTCCACAGCGCTCATCCTTCTACACGGATCACTTCTGGCTGGTCCGATCGTATTTGCGATGTAACTGTTATTGTTGTTGACAAACCAATAAACGCTGTAAGGCTGTTCCATCCTGATTTGGAATTATCAGAAGTGCGCATCTCACGAAATTGAACGAGTTTCTAACCCGCCACCATCCGACCAGTGACTGAACACGGGCCGTTGGACACTAGTATGGACTAGAAATAGGACCGCTCATAATTCAATCATGAAAGCCTTATCACATGGCTCTTCGAGGGCAAATTCTCAGATAGAAGTTACACTATGGAACTATTCTTCCTCTGAGCTACTTATGCATCGCTGGTGTGTGAGGAAATTTGGTAACTACTGTTGAGTGGTTTCTCGCCTTCTTGGCTACAGCCGCCAGAACACACTATACCTACATCCACAGTTGTACCCTATCACTGTGGGGCTTGAAGAGTGTACGTATTTAGGATACGCTCTGTAGCGTCCGTCCTCTAGGGTGACCCGATTCGCTAGTGACTTCAGAGGTTTCACTCTTTCTGGAAGAAACCTACTCCTAACAAGAACTTGGGGAAAGAAACGAGTTTAATATTCCCCACTTTTACACTGCAAAAACGGATCTCTCTCTCAGCAAGAATTCCCCATTTAGGAAACTGGAGGGGACTAACCGAAATTTACTTTTGCTCTTCCGTGTCTGGAGGATCCCTCTTAATTAAACAGAAGTACACAGACATGGGCTAAGCAGCCTTGGAGTGGTTTTAATCGGTGACCTTGACCTCATTTTGTGCATGGGAAGAAGTTGAATGAACCAAGTCCGAGCAATGGGAAACAAGCCATAGCATAGTAGAAGACTTCCAGTTCATGATTAATCACAGCTCACATCAATTTGTATAACACTGAGGTGCTAAGATTAGATAATTGATGGCCTTTAAAGCGTTGTGGATGAATCTTTTGAATCAAGGGGTCGAAGCGAAATCCAGGTAATCGGTGAGGAATATTTGCAACTTTGCAGTTGACACAAAGGACAACAAGAAGCAACTCTGATCGTTTGTCCACTGTTGCACCAACGAATATGAAATTACTCCACAGGTGTATTTTCGAGGCACATTTTGCGGGAAAGCAGCCAATCTGTGCGGAGAATCCAGTGTTATGATGTTTCGCTTTAGTCTCGTGTGGTTTTGTAAGCTCACCTTCTGGTGTTTGGTCAGATGGCTGTTGCTTGTTTCGCCAAACTTGTCAGTTAGCTTGCCTACCTTCTAGTGACCTACCAGTGTGTGAATTGGAACTCAGAAATGACGACATGGTCTTATACCACACACCACTTATGGCAGACCAGTTTTTTTAGTGAGACCGCGACGATGGCACCTAGTGCAATCTACTCCAAACTGCCTACAACTCACAGCTCGATATATCCTGGCTACAAGGTGTAGACAGATACACGTTACGAAGACTTTCCTGCTTTGGTTCCTATCCTTTTCCACCTGTCAAGAGGGTCAGATTTCTGAAACTAAACCGAGGATGCCCGAGACCTACTTGGACTTTCAGATCCAACTCGACGATCGCCAGTTTAGGTTGCCGATTGTGTTGCAGTCAGAATTCAGTGAAGCTAACTTTACTGGTAGCTTTTTGATACTTTCTGCTTCTTACCTACGGGCACCCCGAGACTCGACTGGCTATAGCTCGCTTGGCCTCCAGTTTTTCGGTGACCAGAAATAGTGCAGCTGGAACCAACACGCATTTGGTGCGTGGTTTATAACTGATCAAAACCACACCTCATGGTTGCAGGTGAGCCAACCGACGCGGTAGATAAATTTGTTTACCTGGGCAGCTGTATAAGTTACGGTAGACTGGCTGGAGATGAGATCACTTCTCGGATCGGAAAGGCCAGGGCAGCTTTTGCTTACCTCCGACACCTGTGGCGCCAACGTGACGTGAGCTTGTTTTTCACAGGAAGAGTTTACACTGCGGTTTCTACTGCTTTATGGATCAGAGGCGTGGCCCCTACGTGCAGAGGACATACGGAAGATGTCCGTATCTGCTCATCGGTGTCTCCGAAGCAGTAGTCAGGTCTGATGGGAGTATCGGATTAGTAATGCCGAGGTACGCCAGATGGTCTTTGGAAGAAGGAGCTTCCCCGCGATAGATGAATCACTCACGCTTCGTAGGTTGCGCTGGTCGGGGCATGTACTCCGAATGCTAGAGGACCGTCTGCCTCACAGAGCTCTTTTCTCCTAGCCCTGTACTGAGTGGAAACGGCCGAGGGGTGGACAATGCATGACCTGGGAATGAATGGGGACCCCCGGGACTCAAATCACCAGTGGTTAAGGACATTGGCGGAAATGGCCCAATCGCGCAATCAGTGGTGGTCGTGCACCAAAGCTATCGCCTTCAATATGTAGCTACCCAATTTCTGAACAGGCTGAACATGCCTTCGCCTCGAAGGCTTGGTTGTGTGTTCCACTTTCTTGTTTTCCGGTGATCGAAACTATAGCAGCTGGAATCAGTGTGCCAATCGCACGGTTCATAGCTGATAAATTGAATTGAATTTATGGACTAAACTGAATCCTTATACACCCATGTGCATACCAACTTGATTTTGATGGGAAAATCCCCTATAACCCAGCTGAATATCTAATTTATGAAGAGTTTTCAGCGACCTTACGAGTATTATATTACGTCTAAACAATGAAGTTAACCCTGTTGGGTCTGTAGACAGCAAAGTATAATTAGGTAGGTTTGTCCTCACGTGAGGAATTTTTCGCTATGAAAATTCACCAAGTATTTTCGACTTTACTGGTGTGGTTTCAGTGACATCAGTACTCAGGTTCAGTTGCTGTTAGAATTGACCGTATAACTGTCTAAGCCGCCAATAAATTTAGATGGCAGATTTTCCCGCCTAATGAAAAATGATCTAAAAAACACCGCTCTTGGAGGACATTTTGGTCCCAATGCAGTACCAATGACTACCGTTTTCGTAATGTGTTAATTCCAGTTGGACAACTTATGAATGCAGTTCTTGTCAGTTTCTATCCAGATTGCCTGACTGGATGTCTGGAAGTGTAGGCATCTCGTAATGATTGTGGTACGCTATCACTAAGTCCCTCCCCTGTCTATATTTACTCTTTTCTCTACAAAAAGGCTTTCAAATAAATCATGGTTGTACGGCAGTTAAGCATCGGTCTTGAACATTGATGTCATGCTGTCGATGATGATGATGATGACTTGAGAGGATTGGGTTGCAACGCCTATCTTTTTCCTCTGTCTCTGACAGAATGCTCTCACTTGATTATGGTGTGACCTTGTTTGCTAGGATTAACAGCTTTGGTGTCAAATAGTTCGTTCGCTGACTGTATTGTGAAGCGCGGTACAGATAACCCTAGAAACTGGTTCGGTCTGTCCACTTGCAACCCACTGAGTACTGCTCTGCGTAATAACGAAATCTATCTGTCCCGGTTATCAAATCCAAAGTGATCCGAATAACTAACGAGTTTACTACTATCGTGTTTTTTGGAACGTTATCCGATTAGCGTCCCCATATCCCCTCCATTTGCACTACACTGGGTCTTCCGTCATCTTCCGTTCCCATAAAACTAGTGACAAATGCAGCTTGTTTGAAATTCTCACCCTTTCGGACGATGCCGGACGTGGCCATGTCGTGTTAAAGGCCAATACTCCAGGATCCGGCCAGTCGCTATCAGCGCGAAAGTTGGGTGCCATCTCGTCCAGTGGTCGAACTGTATGTGAAGTCCAGTCACCGGCTGAAACCGACCTATTTCGAGTTATTCTGGTCAACCGGCCCTCCATCGCACTCGTTTCGCTTCTGACTGGTGGATTTGTTTCTCGGGGGAAACAAACAACTTTGGATTGCTCCAGCGTGACGTATGAGAGGTTTCTGTTGCAACTGACCAAGAACAACACTTATCAGCTTTTTGCAAGTAGGTCCAAGTTCCAACATGTTGGTAGATTAGAGAGATCAGGTCGTAGAATAAAATAAGCTCGTACTCCTTTGCTCTTGTTGTTCTCCAGTAAACTGCACCCAAGAAGGAACGAAGCCGATCGCTTGAATTCAACCATACCTTGCACATAAGTGAGGGGTTTATGGAGTAAGAGTGTGGACAAGTGATCGAAGTCCGCTGCATCTTTATCGTGAGTCCCAATCAGGACGAAAAGCGCAGCGTACCACTTCTTTCAGGACTGACTGCTTCTCTTTTATAAGCAAAAAACTCTACTCACTATATGCTATGAGAGGATGATTTTGATAATGTGGCTTTTCCATACTATCGTCAATACAAAGTTCCTGTATCCCATACCTTCATGTTTCATCAAATATCGTGGTATTGTTCCTAGGATAACTTAGAAATCGTGAGATGTCCTGCTAGAAAGCTGAAGGCTTCCCCAGGGATCTGCAGAGCTCAAGACTTAGTCCTACACGTTGTGCAACTTTATTAGCACATATCGCGAAAAATATGCAAATATGAGATGTGTCGGGTTTTCGTAGGTCACCTCTTTTACTTACAGTTGCGATAACCGTCCGTCGTGGAACGCCCGCCTATCTGGAACGGGAAAATTATCGTCCACATGCTTAGTTTCTCTGCATGGAAGCTATTTTCTTTCACCTTCACTTGTATCGTCCTAGAGGACTGTAACAGAAAGAAAAGCAAAGAAAGGTCTGTGGTCATTTTGAAACATAACGCAGGTTTTTATTGTCCAGATTGGTTTCCGAGATTCCAGCGAACATGATCCAAACTATTCGTGATTCGCATGAGTGACAGTTGCCCCCCTCCCTCACCCCAAGAATCCGAGTTTTTCCACATTCGTAGCTTCTCTTCAGCACCCGTCTCATTAAGAGACACCAGACTAACAGGAATGACGGGTGCGTACCCGCGTTTCCGCCCTTTGTAGCCAGTACAGCGTGATTGGAACTGCAACCCGACCCAACGCAACCTAAGTGTGATCTGTCTCTACACATGATCCTCTATATTTACCCATAAAAATGACTGGATAGGTAGATCATTGGTCTGCGCTTCGTGAGAAGCCACAGATTAAGCTGTCCTTTGAAAAGCGAGACATTGAAGAGTAGATGTGTTCACGGATTGTTCAGTGTTTGAACATCTTTTTCTCTAGTCTGTTCATCTGTGAGTGTAGCTCGTGTTCGTATTGAGGATTCATGCGTCTTTCAAGCCAAAAAACTTCAGAACCGTTAAATCCTACACTCTTTGATGTTCCTATTTTCAAGGGTGCTCAAATTCAATACATCTTGGATGAGGTGGCCAAGTACATTTGATGAAGACATATTGACAGTCTCTCTGGAAGCTCTTGTGAAATATTGGTTTAACATGACATCGTTTGTCTAAAATTCACTTTGCAGAATTTTGCACCATGAAAGTTATCCATCTTAGAATTTTCCACTTTCGCGCACTTACAATGTTTCAGGAGACACCAAGTCCTCATTCTCACTATGGACCGTCAGTCCCAGTGGTCTTATCCATTTGAAACCTACGAAGCGAAGGCCTGACGATGACCCACTGGATCCTGAGTGCCTAGAACCTGGCACGGAGTTTCTCTTCCACTTTCTGGGCTGTGGACGTACCCTTATACGAGTTGTTGGAGAAGTTAATGGTGGTTTCACTCTAGTCAAAGCAGAACCAAAAGGTGAAGTAAAGTGGGATTCCGCTAACGAGATTTTGGCCAACTACATTTGGGAGATTTAGTGCTCTTCTCTGTCCGATGTATCCCAACGTTCCAAGGACGGCATCACTGTTTTCGATCACTGTATTTCCTTCTGGTTTAATGTGCCCCCTGAACCCAACACAAATAATCGTCCATCAAACAGGTAATTGATTTCCCATAATATGACTAATATTTCCCACATTGTTTTACTAAACGCACCCGAGACGCAGTCGTCATAAAATCGGTCACTCTTGGTTTCGTTCACAGTTTCACTTACTAGTACAAACAAGCTTCTTCTGGAAACAATACCGAAATTTTTAATTTTGGTTACCAAGATTAAGGCGATTTCGACGTAATTTGACTTGTAGCATCACCTTACGCATTCTTTTTTGAATATACTGAATTTTGCAAGCCACTAGTTTGACTTTTGTCTCCAATCCTTCAGCACCTGTGCGTTATTTTGCGGTGAAACCTTCATCCGTGTCTGAAACAGATTTTTACCCCCAGTGTAGACTTTGCAAAGTGCCTCAATACCCCAAGTATCCACATTGGCTCGTCCCTGTACCATCTCAGAAGGTCGTTTCTCCAATACCACTTAAAACGATCTAGTAAGGCGCTTATCTGGTAACTATTTCGGTCCAGTTTCACGAATGGTCCTTTTATGGATTATTGACACTACCTTTGCTCTTTATTTAGTCGATACTATCGACTGGAGCCTCGAAAAGTGGTTCAAAGAACATTTTCCCACATAAATCTGTGTACTATTTCTTGGTTTGGCCACCATGTTGATTTTCACCCTTACAAAACCCACTTCGTTTATCCCAATCAGATGATTACGGCATTCACTCATCTTTCTGCTCCTTTCGCACTTAAAGTTCTGGATTCCTATTATTGTGAATCCAAATCTCAAGTTTTAATTGCCTCTAAACTGGCGCTTATAGGCAACGGCTGGTCCAAAACTGACAAATTTCAGCTCCGATTCCACTACATCCACACAGTGGCTTTCAAGACCGGCAAATCAAACTAAATGTGTTCCCAAATATAACAGAAACAGAGGAGCAAAGCACGGGAACATGGGTGGCGGATGCTAGGTAGCGGTCAATTTAAGGGACACGATATACTATTAAGCTCTGTGGTGTGATTCAGGTAGCGGTCTTGACAGCTTGATAAACTCACGGCGGGTGGTTCGAACTGAGAGCCATTGGTACGGTTTGACCAGTTTACTGAAAGGCCTGTGAGTGGTCCGGCCACTATAACATAACATACAGTGCTTCACGTATCATGTAAAACAGGCTATCAGAGGTCCCCTTCTCTTGTAACACCACTATAGCAGTGTATCTGTTTACGACATCTTCCGATTGTGCATACTATGGGGCAGTTGTAAAACAAACGGTGGAATGACTTTCATGGAGTGCTAATAAGGCGGTGAAATCAGTCTAGAGGAAGGACCATTGGCGTTCGATCACTATTCGATGTCGATGAAGTGCTGGGTTGGTCAGACTAGATCGGCTAGCCAAGATATGATCGCGAGCCAAAATCGTCTCAAGAGAGTCACGTACACTATCGTCATGATCCATTCCACCATAAAAAGTCAGTGCTTGAACACATGCCTTCCATATGAGCTGAGTAATTAACATTTTTACTGAGTTCCTATTGGACTCAATTAAGCGGATTGTAGTGTGCGTTAGCTATCGGACACTGTGACCACAACGACACCAAGGCTAGGCGTTCAAATATCGTTGGTGCGACGATGAACTAACTGAAAAAGTTGAGATGATTGCCGAATGGTACATTTGTGCGAGTTCCCCAGATTGGATTTCGTCTGGTTTCACCAACCACAATTCTCAGTGACCTTGATCTGTAGTTGCTCGCCTACATGTCTTCTGAAACTAAGCTTCTCAGGCTGGTTTTCGTACTGAAACAGGGGAATGTGTGATAGTGCTTACAAAACGTGAAAACGTAAGCGAACACCAATACGCTGTGGTTGTTCCTCTAATTTCGCGGTTAGTCGCCTATCCCCAGAAGGGAAATGAAGGGAAAGTTTTGAGTGTGTGCAATAATTTCGTGTAACCAGGGGCTTAACTAACTTTCAAGTGTTTTATTTCCTGCTTCTCCTGGTTACTTAAAACAGCATCAGTAATGAAACTATTTCCTTTCCGGTACATATACGGGCGAAACCGTAATTTTTGTATGCCACTTTCACTCGTTTTCCATTCTAGATAGCAAAATTGTGCGTGCAACGGCAAAGCGTTGTGTACAATCACACGGACTCCAATTTGTGGGGGCCGTTACCGTATAACTCTCCCCTGCCGGTAACGGTCGACGTAGGAGACTGAAATTCCTCAAAGCATCGTTGAGCTTCGAGAGACAAGAGCGTGTTCCAAGAACTATCGTCGTTTTATTGATCGGCTCGTGTTATGAGAACCTCCCGGGAACGAATGGTAGCAATCTATTATTTCGCCCATTTTAATCTGTCTTACGTGTTTTGGTGAGTACGAGAGTATAAAAAAGTGATTCCTATTGTACTGGACTAAAGTTACAAGAGGGGAATTTCACACTCTTTGAGACTGGCTGATTGAGCGGAGCAGGCTCACATTCTAACCACGTGCGTGCGAGTCTGCATCGATTGGTTTAAGCTGGTCAAATCGATCCATGTAAGCAGTTGGAAGTTAGGATGGCCCCAGCAGGTTGGATATCCCAGTAGTATTGCTAATTTGGACAGTATGGATTTTGCGAAAACCACTGTGGTTGAAAGACCAAAAGCGACAGATGGCCGATCGGTGTGTCCGATAGATTCACGTCCGGAAATTATCTATCCCACTCGGAAACCATTTCAGCGTTATTTGGAAGAACTGGTCAATCCAAAAATATGGAACGCTCAGCCAAGTTTGGTCAAGCGAGAGCAACCAACTTACTTGAAGGCCAGTCGCATGAACGAAAATCCCTATAAATTCATCAGATTCGAACGTATAAACCAGTTAAAAGAACGGGAACAAGCTCGGAAAGATGAAGAACGTCAGTGCCACGAGAGCGCGCGTGACTTGAGCGAGAAACTTCCATTTTCAGTTAGACAACGAAATACCGCTGCCAGTAGTGTTCGTAAGTTGATTCACGATGAAAATGTACAGGAACTCAACAAATATGGTCGTTTGTTCGGTCCAAACAGCTTGACTGCCCAGCCGTTAAACAGTAAATTCACCAAACTCAAGGATATTCCTTCTCGACTAACCTCACAAACACTAACAATGAGCAGACGTCTCACTGAAGACCCAAATGAGAGTAGAGGAGTTTTGGATGAGAAGAGGTCGTCTGATATAGAGACTGAAAGCCGCGATTTAGCATCTAAAACGGAAGCCTTTGAACGTAAGTCTGTCGCACCACTTGTCGAAAAGGATCTTCCTAGAGTGAAAGTATCCTTATCTAGGAAACCCAAAGAGGATAAGCCGGATGAAGGTCTGAAGGCTTTCGTGCAAGATCGTAGACGTGTTTGTCTACTCGAACTAGCGGTACGAACAAAAAAAGGTGAAGTGAAACGGCTGGACGCAATTCTACATGCAGAGAACGAATTTCTAAAAAAGGAAGAACATGAACTCATACGACGGCATGAGGATCATGATCGATATTTGAAGTCAATTTGTCAACGCACTGCCGAAGCTATCCGATTAGCTGAAGGAGAAGCCCACAAAAGGAACGAAATCACAGATCGAATTAAACGCGCGAGGTACCGGTTGGCACATCTGAACGCAGAATGTGTGAAACTTGAGGAGGAGTATCTGCGGTTGAGCACCTATAAAAACTTTTTACGTAATGTTTTCGATACATTCCGTGAACGTCACACCCAAACAAAGGTTGTTTCTGCTTCTCCAGAAAGTGTGAAATCAGAAGAAACCGGAAGGCATTCTATGCCCATGGAGAGCTTCGAAAGTGACCCGACGATAAAACATCAGAGCACAGGAGACGCTACGTCTTCTCCTACACAGAGACTAAGTGAAGCGAGCTCCGATACTGTCTCATTGATAGAATTCTTCACGAATCCCCAGGACTTGGTTGATATTCTATCGGAACTGGAAAGCAACAATTTGACATTAATCGAGAACGTACAAGAACAAGAGGAGGTATGTGAGCGGGTTCGAGCAAAAGCTCACAAATTGTATACTATGCTCAATGCAGAACGTGATATGGTCGACCAACACATTGAACGAGAACGAGAAAATATCAGTGGTATCAAAGAGAATGTGAATGCAATCACATTAGCTCGAAACACCTTATCTGATTTTGTGTTGCTAGAAAGGTACGCCAAAGTGTTCCACTTGGGAGATATGGAGCAGTTCGAGAGTTTGGACCCTGGTCTTCTATACACTTCTCAAACACCAAGTACCAAAGTTGCTGTTGGCACACAAGCCAAACAACAACAAAAACAGCAAGGTGCCTATCTCAACACGGATAACATTGATGCAAAACCCACCATAGCCAATTTACTCAGTGTGCTCCAGTTTCAGGTACAACGGGTCTATTCGTCCGTCTACGGAACCAATGAAGGTGGTGCACGACTTGATACGCTAGTAATGCTACGCCGCTTGGAAACCACGGTGGACGAATTGAGTGAAATGTTAAACGCATATCCCCGTGCTATGGTACTGAAAGCCAAACGAACTGTGGACGAACGTAACCGTGTATCGGCAAGAAGACGCCAGAAAGCTGAGGGACGTCTCGCCTATGAACGAAGGCTACAAAAAGCTATCCGTAAGGCCAGGGAAGGTCCCAGATGGCACTTCGGTCGCCGTGTGTTGGAACGGTCTCGGCCTCCGGAAATCAAACGTACCCTACATACAGGCGCCGCATCTGTAGAAACCGAGGATGATAACAAGAGTCTTTTTACTCCATGAGCTTCGATGCATCGAGCAAGTTTCCGGATCGCCTAGCATGGCTTAGCACTTCAAAATTATCTTTTCTGTGCTTGTGATTCCTGCAGTATCGAACACTTACGAATGACTACTATTGTCGATTGTTTTCCCCCAAACGATGGTTTTAAAACACATGTAGGTCACGTTGGAAGTCAAACCAAGGTCGGCTGTGGGATCTGCAAGCAACATTATGGGGGTGCTTTCCTTCACACTGGGCGTAGTGCATCTTCCAGTATACAGTGTAATCATGGCAACTTTCCTCGTTGCGTGTGTTCAAAGTCGAACCTAAGATGTCTACGGATCTGTATGCTTATGTTTGTTGCAGCTTAGTTTCCGACTAAAACAAGAGGCTGGTCATACCAACAAACTGAAAGCCGAATGTCGTTACTTGGTCTGAGATTCGCCTCCCAAATGGCCTTCTCCCACTCTTTCGAAAAGCACTGCGTCCTGTGTTGCCTGCAAGTTCATTCGGCCAAACAGAGGTCATGCAATCCTTAAAACATCAAAACCGAAGTAGCGTCGGGCTAGGTTGCCCGAAAACCCCATGGGCCCCCAGAAAAGTCAGTGTACGGTAACATCAATGTGGCTGTGGATATGGAACTCTTAGTCACGCGTGGGTTTGACGATATGGAATGTCAGAAGGAAGAATCGGGTTCGAAAGTCTGCCGTAATAGTTAGCAAGCAAAATTGCACAACAAACCTCACTTGTCCATTAAACCAAATATACTTCCAGCTTCATGTAACGGATCACTTGAGATAAACCACCCATCTGTACTTAGTTTTATCTTGAGATTTTGTAGATGAGCGAGAATGATTTACCAAGACATTCGACTGATCAGTTACCTTGTACTCACTTCGAACTGGCACGGCTTGGTAATGGTCGTCAATGATCCCGTTCACTGGCGACCATCATTAATCTGGGGAAATATTTTCAAAATTTGATATTGCTATATGTATCCAAGACAGCCTGGTGTGAAGTGTGGATACACGAAGAGCTGCTTCATTTCTACTGGGAACCATCTTTACCATCGGGATTTTGACAGGCACCTATGATGCATAAAATGCGAACGAACGCACTTTACTGCGACCGAATCTCAACCAATAGAGCCGGTCAAATAAATGTAAATTTCTGCAGCTGTAATTCCCTGCCATTTTCTCTAGGGTCTGTACGACTTCGATGTTGTTTATGGAGTTGGACCCAGTCTGAACTGCGGCCAGGCTGATCGATTCTTTATTTGAAATTAAATAGCCAAGTCTTTAGGTGCCTCCTTATGCCGCAACACAACCCTTAACATGATCCTCGGTTGGAGACATTTGCAGATTTTCAGGAGTATGTCCCAAAATCACGATACATGACGTTGCTAGATGTGTGCGATCGATTTTGACATCTCGTCATAACATTACCTTGCTTCTTCGTTGCCGATCCGATCGATTCATCCTGTCATAGAGTTGAGCATTATCTATCAGTTGTGGTTCCAGCAATCGGATTCCAATCACCTCTGCGATTGACTGCTGGATTCAAAGGAAACCTGTTCTGCCTCTGAACTTGAACTTTCAGTTGCTGGTGGCTTGTTACCATAGCCTAGAGGCATGTTACGCTCTTATCCCTTAAATCACGGCTGATTCGATGGTTGCAGAGCGAGATCGATATCTGTTGAATCTTGTGAACCTGCGACACCTGTGACGTAGGTGTGACCTCAGCTTCTCTTTCAAGGGTCGAGCTTACAATGCTGCGGTGCGCTCCATATTATTATGTGGATCAGAAACCTGACCGCTGCGCGCCGAAGACCTTCAGTGCTTGACCATCTATGTCTTCGGAGCCTTGCTCGAGTCTCGTGGGAACACCGGAGAAGCAATGCTGAAGTACGTCAAATGGCATTCGGGAGAAATAACTCACCCTCGATAGATGAACTAATCACAATGCGTAGGTTGCGCTGGCTTGGCCACGTGCTGCGTATGCCAGTCGACCGACTTCCCCAAAGGGCTCTTTTCGCACAACCACGTGAAGGGTGGAAGTGAGCAGAGGCAGTCAAACAACGACTTGGCAGCGAAGTATGAAAGCCATTACCAGCAAACTTAGCTGCGCTGGTCATTGTCGTCTTCCTGGATGGGGACCCCGAGACGGGCCACGTCAATGGTTAGAGACATTTTCAGACATGGCCCAGTTGTGCCCTCAATGGTGCTCATGCATCCAATGCATAGTTCCCTTCTCAATCCCGCCACTTAACAGTCCACCTACAGTTTTGTATTTACGCACGAATTTATCAGCTCCCGCCTCCAACGCGTAGCTACCTACCTCACCTCCCCGAATCACCGGTGAACGAAACTGTGGCGACTACAACCATTGTACGACAAGTACGGAGTTCTTACAGCTGACAATCGTGATGATAATGACCCAACTGTCTACTAACAAGACCGAGTGAAGGCGTTATCTAGTCGGATTCTGCAGTCCAAGAATTATTCAGAAACTTCACTGCTTTGTACAGCAAGCCCATCCACCGCCGCATCTTGATCAATACGTTTCTGCATTTAACAATAGTTTAGCGGTTTGCCTAAACCTGACAATCAGTTTTATAACTCCGTCTGATCTTACTCCTTGGGTACGTAAACTTTTCCCTGACTTGACTAGTAGCTACCTGATTGATCACTCCAATAGTGATGATGCTGAACACGCTAAGGTTGTGTCCGCAAAGGTTAGTGATTAACTGATCCGAGGCTTGTACGAGAGCCCATGAAGTCCCATTAATCCCTATCGAGGGTGAAACGATTTTACAATGCCTCGTTAGTAATAGCTTGGTGAAACGTTCAGTAAGAGTGGTCGGTGCTTGGTCGCTGGAAATCCAACCCCAGCGACTCCGGTCGTCACCTGTGCAAAAACAAGGAAACGAATGGGATTTTATAATTCCATTCGATTCCTCTGGGAAGAATCTCACCCCACCAGCTTCTTTCTCTGACAACGCAACCGAAATGGTGCGTTTTTAACGTGGTTTATTCCGCAAATGTAGAGTTTCATACGCTTGTGATCGACGAGATTAGCTCAACTGTTGACCCCTCCCAAACCACGACTTCAAACTGTCATCTCGAGGAAGCTTTTGCGGAATGCGGGATGGAGTCAAAGAATCGACTTTCGCTGCCATCCAACCACACAGAAACAAAGCTAGAAGTCGGGCCTGTAATTTGGACATTGAACAGTTGCGTGGCATCGGTGCTGATACCGACAACAGATCTGGTAAAACTGGTGAGACCGTGGATTCCATAGACCTGGTTCTAAAACAACTTAGTGCGGTTGCGACATATTCACACATACGACTAAGTGTAGCAAGCCGCAGTGATTTGTAGGACTACAGAGATACGTCATGGATAGTCACTGTGGGAACCAAGGTAATAGGTCAGCACATTTAATCTGACAGGTAAAACGACACACAGAGGAAGCAGAGGAGAGAAAAGTTCCGTGGAGGCTGTCAGACACTAAGGGGTAGTCACAGACCGGTCACTACCTGACAAGTATACCGAATTGCCAAGGGGATTACAAACATGAAATGGTCAGCGGTGGAATGAACTTGGGTTGGTGGCGTGTACAGCGACTTGAACGGTTGCCGAGTGAAGTGACTCGTCACCAGTTGAGATTCTGTCCTGACCGACTATGTTCCCTTCCAAGCCCGACAAATCTCTGCCCTACATGAATACTTGGATACAATGGTAACAGATACAAAAAGCGGAGAGCGGACATACGCAGATGTAATGGCAATAAATGCGGGACGCAGCCCACACCACATATCGAATTTCCTTTCGGACAGGCTACCTTGTCTCCCAGCAGTTGAGCTGGGGTGTGCTACTTGTAAGCGGGCAATAAATAAACAAGCGTGCAACTGTTACATCTTTTCGGTGCCTTGCTGCCACGCTACCCGCAGGAAGCACGATGGCTGAGATACTGTCAGGTTGCCCAGGTCTGGACGAGAGCAGTCGAGATGCCGGGAATGAATTCGAACCACGAGCCTTCCACCCACCAAGTTCGCGCCTTAACAACTGAGCTACCTCGAGCTCAGCGAACAACCACAACTTCGTATGCTATGATCCTCGAAAAGATGCCACTAGCTTGAAAGAGCTTTTTGGTGTTTATTGAGGATGAATTGTCCCCAGAAGCAATGTGTAGGATCCAAAATCAGTGTACCAGGTCGTGGTAAATTCTCATGAAAACTTGTGAGTGCTTTCAGGAATCATTAAAAAAACATTCACCCTTCAACTGAGCTTGTTTCCTGGCATAGCTCAGCTTGTACTGAGTACACCAAAGCAAGCCTTTTGAGCTATCCTGTGGTGTGAATAGCGTCTACCAATATCATTTGTGGTATTTTAAGGGCAACCTCACCGGGATCCTCAAACATGTCCATGGTCAATATCCACAGCTAACAAAGACCCGTAATTTTCCACATAATCGTTCGAAAAATCAATCCAAAAATGCCTCCATTCAAGAATCAGCTTCTGCCCTATGTCTAAATGGTTTCAAGGTCAGACCGACATTGTTGTGCAGCAAAATTCTGATTTGCTTCCCCAGAACCTGTATCCTAAGTAGACCTGAACTGAACTATTATTCCATCTAATTCTTTCTTTGAACATTGAATCACTGGTGCTTTTGAAGTGTAGCCAGAAGAAGCTAGCTACAGTGTGTCTAATAAAACGATCCACACTTGGCAATGAATCGCAATAGCTAGGCTTATCATGTCAAGGTAGACTGCACATGAGTTACGTATTTCCAAAGAAGAACCACAAAAGGACACGTTGTTTTCAACTCCAAACTCCTGCTGATCGAAGTTTTTGAGAAACCTTCCATGACACGGCAACCCGAAAAGATGACAGCGAGATCTTCACCGTTTCCCTACTAATATCCAGATGCTTCATCCTCCACAAGGCAGGTTATTCTACAGGGTATGACATGTCACCGTGCCCAATGGTAAGAATGCCGCAAAGTTTCAAGTGGCGGTCTTAGCTAAAATGTTCATTGTGTGCTGTTGGGTAGGTTTCGCAATCATTTCGTAATCATTACTACTGTGTAGCAATTGCTGATGACTACGTGATTACTTGCATAAAAGATATTGCTAAGTAAAACCAGCGAATGGTACACAAATATGCTACCATGGCCAACTAATGTTCAACTCAGGAAGACAGCTAATTGGCACTAGAAATAGGAAATCAAGCCCTCTGACGTTCTTTGCATTATGAGGGAAGCTCAGGCACTGGCATTAACCATGCGATATTAGTTTCGAATTTAAATTTGTTCAGATACTTCAAACAGCTTCCGCGAAGACCAGGAGCCATCATTGCTTTGGCTTACTTACTTCCATGTAGGTTAAATTCCAGTTCTAGACAGCATGATGAAGGGTTGCTTAGCTTGAGCGGTATCGCGTTTCACTTATAGCATCTGCTTGTCCAACTCCTACGTCTCGCAAAACGCTGGATTTGCACATCCCACTGGCTGAACCAATTACTACTTCAGTTACTTCATAGTCCCGAATTTGTATTCTTACCGACTGTCATGGAAGAAAGTACCAAGGCACACATTTGTATATTTATCCCTAAAATTGTCAAGTGACAAAGCCAATGTGGCAACGCCTCTCCACTAGGCAGTCTTGAACAACAAAAACGCCCGATCCTCCAGGCAGAAGTAGATGAATTTCTGGGTTTCGTGAGTAACGTAGCTGGGGGATAAAATAAACAAAAACAAATTTAGTGATATTACTCAAACTGTTTGCTTTGGAAGACAGACGAATATGACGACTGCAGGTTGCGACAGGTGAATGCTCACCAGGATGAACCGCTGAGTTATTGAGATGAATCGTTGCTAGATGACCGGTGGGTTGAGAAGACAGAAAGGTGAATCCCTCAAGTAAAAATTGGAACGGTAATAAATGCCTAAATGAGCGGGCATTCATTTGTCCTTTCCGCGTTTTTATTTCCACAAAAGTGTTGCAGACGCACACACATTGGTCCTTCCTGAAAGTTGAAAGACTGCTTAACGGATGTCATTTTTTAAGAAGTTGCAAATGTCGGATATCCCCAGGATGTTCAGTACTTTTCTCTTTCAAACGCGCATAAAATTAGCATCTTCGCTAACCTTGGTCAGATTTATACTGTGGCGTACCACTAAATCACTTGAGATTCCATAAAAAACGCGACAACATTGATGGTCACTCAACAAGTTGCTTCTAGTGCGCGACTGTTCCTTCTTTGATATACTATACATCTTCGGTGGACAAAACGGTAGCAACTGGAATGACGAATACACGACTTCTGGTTTAAAGCTGAATTCCATACCGTTAACAGCCCATCCAAATTTCTTGCTGCACACGGGAGATCAACCCAATCAATACTGTCAAATTCTTCTGATGGTCGTAGCGTGAACACGAAATAAGGATAGTGATAACACGTTCGCCTTGGGGATTGAGATCTCAGAATGGCCAAGTATACGCACTAATGATGACCTCTGATAAGAGCGACCCCAATGCTTTCACGTTTTGGTGTGGACTAACCAAAATATTCTTCCCGACAAGATAACTCTTTAGACAGTTGGAATGTGGATACAAATTCTACAGATCCCTTTGGAACTTACAGCAAATGTGAAAATTTGCAATTGGTAATGACTGGTTTCGAATCATTTACATGCAAACGAAGAGCAACAACGTACTGCGTACTAGATGAGAATAATGCTCTCAGGTTAGACAGTGCAAAAAACGCGTTCGTCCAAAATCTCCTAGCCTCAGTGGAATTTCACGCCCTTCAAACCGTAAAAAGTGCATACCTGCCGAAATTTTTCCCCACAACACAGTGCCATGTGACAGCATACTTTCGGTCGAACTCTTTCTTTATGTGGGCCGCGATATCTTTCTCCAAATCGTACTTGTTCGTTGCGTCCGCGGCAACGTTCACGGCCATTTCTTGCATCTCGTTCGGCATATCGGTATTCTTCACAATTGCTTTTCGTTCACCCATTGTCGAGCAGAACAGTTAGCAGCTTACTCGGTCATTTATATGATTAGATTGCGATCGATTGGGAGAGTTGTTACCGAGCTTCAGTAAATTGCCTTCATCGGCGTGATTGTGCGCTTGTTTGCATACATTACGCAATCCGGTTACCAGACACTAAGGCGTAGGATGACCTGTTTGTTTGTTCAGGAGGCCTACTGTGAATGGGCTGGAATTCGATGAATGGGTGAGGCGTGAATGCGATGTCTCAAGCTGGTCAGCAATTCTTTTCCACAATTGTTGATTGACTTGTCGAATTTACAACTTAACCACAGTGTGCGCATGATCCCCAGAGTATTGACGCAACGGTGGTCGTATGCTGCAGGCATTTCATAGAAATGCGATCGATTATGAGCGATTCCATGACACTCTTTGGGAGGCTGAAATCTACATGGCCATTTACTCGAATTACTTTCAACTTTTGTGGAGGGATTGGAGAACTTTTCTTCGATGAAAAAGGGTTTTCTCAAGGTTTTGTGATTTACTATAAGGCACGAGAAAGTCAGTCGAAATGAACCATTGTACAATTTGAGTTCCAATGTTCAACTGGAAGTACGCCGTGTAACTGAGAATGTAGTGGTTGCGGGTGAAGAGCTGCAAGGTTATCCTGAGTCATGAGTCTACATTGTTTGTGAAACAACTATCCAACCTTTTTGGGAAAATGTATGGAGAAGCACTTTTAGTATGGCTGACCCAAGTGAATAAGCAATAAACTTGTGTTGGCGAATACAGGAGAGAGATCACGATCTAAACCAAAATCATCTCATTGCAGTTCATCTGGTTTTTTTTTACAGAGTCAGCATCTATGATAACCACAAATTCCTCTCTAACAAGGACTAGAATGCAAAATCTGTGCATCATGCTTCCTTGTATCAAAGTATTCAAATCATAGACAATATGAATTCCATTTCTGCAGCAAACCGGGTACGAGCGACGATGTGATGCTGCGAGATGTACTGGAGGTAGAACACCTTTAATTTGCTGTTCTTACGAAAAATCGGTGCAAGAATAGGCCAACGCTTGTCTGGATAAGTGTTTCTACAACCCAAACGTATGTTGTTGCGTATTTATTTGCGAATTAAGTGGGTACTAGCGAGAGATTCATCTGAATCTCTTGTTTGTGATACTCTTCAGCTGAATATGCTGCACAAAGACCGCCTCATGTTTTAGTTGGAACGATATTCGTAATATCGAAAGAACTCCCTACCCATAAGGTTGCTAAAAACTCTTGGACGGTTCACGACCGGTTACGCCATCTTTGGTACTCATCAGGTAAGCACAGTTCGAAAGCTGCTGTCAGTCTAATCTTCTAGTTGAACAGGAACTGTGCGCTATTCACTTGAATCTACCATTTGAACTCAAGCAGGACATTCTCTCTATCACGATCACTCTGTAGACTCCAGCTACCAGTATGCCAGTCTTGCATCCAAGGAAGTGGCTAGTTGGATTCCGCCCGCTTCTCAGACCTCGTCCCCGTGTAACTTTCACACCCTTTAACTTTTGAAAACCACAATAAGCTTCTCCAGCATGCAGTATAATTCACAACCAGATCTTTGCTGTAATTCAAGATCCAAGCATGACACTCGAACTTACGGCACTTTCGTTGTCCAAACACCGCCTCGGCTATCAGGCCGCCGAGAAACACAGATGAATATCAAGCGTTACTGAAAGACTCGGTAATCGCGGGACGCGCACTGGACACGGGACACAAAATAGACTCAGGAAGAGTTGAGGTTTTGAGGCGAGGACTACGGTCCACGTCACAGAGACTGATAGTCGAGGCGGTAGAAATCGCCAAGCCCTCCAGTGTTAACAGAATGGAAGGCGTGGAACTGGCAAGCGTGTGGAGAACGGTCTTGGGTCACTCGAGCGAACACGTGTTGGTGTTCGATTATCAGAGGGAAGAGTAGTCATCATCTGTATTCCACTTAACCTTACGCACCTCCCCTCCCCCCAACTAAATTGTCGTAACATTCGCATGCCAACGAAGATCAAGGAAAATCTACCAGTGGCACCCGAGGTGAATCATCAAGTACGGCACCCTGAAGTGGAAGATTAAGGAACGAAAAGCGATCGGAACTAATTTGAAACTCCTCTCACCCATCAATTCAAGATTTTGGCACTCACACTAGCCGACAAGAGCCGTTAATTGACACTCAACACTGATCTAATGTGAAGAGGACCTACTGATTGGTTCCACGTCTGTCTTATAATCTGGCCCATTTGGTGACCTGTTCACTTGGCCTGATGAAGCTTTTGTGTCAAAAGCGAAACGTTGCCCAAATAAAAACTAATGATTGTTAATCAAGCTCTTCTGATACGACTTTTTACTTTCGAATTTTATTTCCCATAGGAACCCATCGCTATCCCAAGTAACATCTGTCCTTTAGCCGTAACTTCTGTATATGTCTTAAAAAACTGTGGGCTGATTCGGAAAAAGACAGATTTTTCTATGAACCAACTACTCTGCTATTAAGTAGAAGTTTATGTAATTTCCAAAGCACTGGAGATCTGAATAAATTGATAGGACGTCGCAGTCGACCGAAGTCGCGATTTATTGATCGCTTCAGCTTACGACGGTGATGAGCATCATACTGAGCAGCGCTATTGAACTCAGACTCAGAAGACACCGTTGCGTTACCTGATGCGCCCTGCTCATGAACAACCATGGAGCCAGACTCACCACATGGTCGTTTGTTATTAGCGGGGATCTCGTTCCGACTACCGATCTTTCTGAAGAATCCACGTCAATTCTGACCACACTCGTGCCTAGTATAGGTTTCAGAAGTACTTCCTGGTAAAAACCCAAAAACAAGCTCAGTCAACGAAACACTTCTTGATTCACGAGTTAAACAATCTTATCAAAGCGGACAAAAAGAAGCTTCAAAAGATGCGTTCTGGGGAGAAGTCAGTCATAATTGCACCACGACAAGCATCGCCATGCATACTGCAGGAAATTCAGTGTGATATTTCTGGTTGCCCACAAAATATGCATTGGACTTCAAAAGATTCACTGTTGTTGTTTCATATATCTTCGGACGCTGAGCAGAATTCAACCAGAATTTCTGTTAGACATTGGCTTAAAGTGTACGTGTGGATAGATAGGCACGAAGGTGGAGGAGGCTGAGAAAGTTCCGACGGGACAGGAAAACTTTTCGTTAGTGCATATTGGAAATTTATTGTGCGACAAGAGCCAGTGTCCAGACCATTTGGTTGCATCAGCTCAGGTACGATTTAGTTGACCGTCTGCCCCAGTACACGTCTTTCAACTCGAGTCGTGGTCCGCTGGTTTAGACCCCAATTCACTTCCTGAATATGCCTTGCTGCCTTGGAATGCCATCAGATAGCCTGACTGGGTAAGCTCCCACCAGCATTACCCAATGAAGGTTGCAAGCCAATATGGTTTGGTTTGACTGGGTTGTTAAAAACAACTTGAAAATAGGGATGCGTTTCAACCGAATGCAGCCAATTAATCGTAGCATCTTTGCTCAAAAATGCATCCAAAGCAACTGATCAGACCACACGAATACAGTCCTCAACCAAGTTGTAACGGGGCTACTGGTTTCGGTGACAATTTGACGCCCGACCTCAACACGTGAGGCGAAAGTCCTGGAGCATCAGGCAGGATTTCGATCACATAGGGAATGTATGTGTTACACACTTCAGATTATGTCAAGTGTCTGAACAGTGTCACACATACCGCCGTCCAACAATGCAGATTTTTCTTGGCTTCAGAAGGATACACTGACAGTCCCACATTTATTGGCGTAATACACCACTCACATGGTTGCTGAAAATTCTTCGACGGCCCACGACCAGTTTTACCCTTCTTGGGGCTCATCAGGTAGGTGCAATCCCAGAGTTTCCGCCAACCTTGTTCCAGTTGAGATCAAATTGCACGAAACTAGCGAAATACACTCACTTGCAAACAAATTTTTTCTTTCGAGAGACTCACTTGAAACCTAGCTGCATCTCCCGTTTGTTATGTTTTTAAGCAACTGAATGTGCTGCAAAAGACCGCCTCATGTTTCAGTTGTTACTCGGGGACTGCGTCTACCGGATGAACCCCAAGAAGGGCAAAACCGGTCGTGGGGTGTCGAAGAATTCTCAGCAGCCTTGTGAGTAGTGTATTACGTCAATACATGTATCGCGATATCTCGAATATCGTAAAAACTGAAACATGAGGTGGCCTGGTGCATCACGTTCAGCTGCTCGAAAACATCGTAAACGAGAGATTCAGATGAGTTTCAGGTGAGCCTTTCGAAAAACCAAATTTGTTTGCAAATGAGTGTATTTTGCTGGTCCTACATTTACTTCGTCAAAGAATAACACCCATGAATTTTATTCCCGTACATCTGGTTATCCTAAAGCTACCGATGAGCTATCCAGAAGTTCCTCCACAACTAGCGGACTGTTCCCTCTCGCCGTTTTTCTTCAACTTTTTCACTAGCATTATCTTACAATGTACTCTTCAGCAGCACATGAATCTGAGCGTCGAAATCAAATGAAGGGAGGTTATTGAAATTGGACCATATGGACAATAATGTTACTTGAGGAATATGCGTTTGCACAGACTACCTCAAACATAATATCGGAAGTATCGCTTTGTTTTTTGGCATGTTTTGTGCCCATAAAATACAGGCTCACTTCAGTGTCTGCGACTTCCTTACACCTGTTGGAAACCTCAGAGTAAGCAACTGGAGTGTGATGACAGGTTTACTTATCTTGGCAGAAGCATCAATCGCACCTGCACAGTGACATAAAGTTAAGGCATGCATGATCAAGCTACGGGGGACTTCTAGCGGATATCACCAGCTTTGAGGTCAGAGAGGAATTCCATTGATATTAAACGGCAGTCTCTACGACATCACCGTGAGAAGTATCTTAGTTTATGGCTGTGAAACGTGGCTCGTCGGTTACGACGACCTCGAGTGTCTTCAGGTATTTGATCATCGACATCTTTCAACCGTTAACTGACTGCAGCATGTCCACGACGAAACGGTCCACAAGCAAGTAATGAGTCAGAATCAATGGGGCAGTAGATGTGGCTTGTGGTCAAAGGTGGTTGGGGCACGTGGTATGTGTACCAACCCACTATGTACCAAAGAAAACCGTGTATTCAACTACACATTTTTGGTGAAATGTTCGAGGACAGACCATCACGTGGAAGCGTAAAATGAAAGAGGCTAATGTAATGTGAGACCGTCGCACCTTCTCGGATAAGGTCCTTGTACGTGATTGGAAACAGACAGGCACCAGCTGGATGGTGTGCCTAGCTAGAGTCAATCAGTCGTTTTGTGTTGTGTAGGGTTCATAATGGAAAGCGACTTATTGCTGCAGGCTGCGCCTTCCTCCTAGATGATACTCAGGTGTGTATTTCTCTTGACTATCTCTTCTAGGTACATAGGGCACTTTGCAATAAGTTCCTGTCCCTAATTTCTTTACACACTTTACTAAGGTCCTTCTCATCCATGGTTATATGACAGTTAAGCAGCGATTTCCACTACTGTGCTGCCGCACATGAGGGTGGCGGCGGGGTTCATCCATGTAAAATGAAGGGCATATTATTGGCATTCCATCGGAAACCCCAGAACTGCTGCGATGTACGTGTTAAGTATCTTGGATTCCCTCTCCAAACCTGTAAATTCGCACTGAACAGCGAACTCTTTGTTCCTCGAAACTGTGAACGTTACGACTGGTCGTCCCTCGCGATTCTAGGGGACGTTTTACTACAACAGCTATTTTCTTCAATAATTTGTACGATTTTGGTCCCTCTTCCTCTCTAGTGGTATATATCACCAGTCTTCTGATTTTATTCACTTTGTCATCAGATTCTGCTCAATTACTTAACGAATGAAAAACGTACAGTTGCCAATTCCCTGTTTGCTCACACACTGTGTGTGGTGTCCATAATCACACTGCTATGCAAACTTTAAGGGAATGAAGGCTTGCGCGTCAGGCGAGTTTGCACTGTGCCGAATCGAGGTTTCGGGTATTTCCAACTGGTTCACAAAATAGCACGAACGCTTGGAGTTTATCGAGAGAGTACATGCCGAAGCGCATTTCCTGATTTTGGTGCACCAGCATTTTCTAGTAACCAATGCGGGAAGTATTCACGTCAGAGGGAGGTTGTATTCGCTGAGACACTCACTACAGGGAGAACTTTAGTCAAGTTGAATGTATTCGAAAAAACCTCGATATTAATAGGGTGAGTAAATCTAAGAATAGGTATTTCGTCCTATCAATGAAGGCAGTCTATCCTGAAAACCGTAAAAGCACTATGAAGCTGTTAAATCCCAATTGAAAACGATCAACAATACACACCCTACAAAACGCAGTTTCGAACTTGCGACTTCCCGACTAGTAGCATGAATACCTAACCGTTCGGTCGCGAGCGACTGATCAGCAGTGATTAGCTTGCATATGGACAGGACATAGCGCCGTTCATCCTCCAATCAATAAGTAGCTTGCGAGAGGACTTCATCTTCGATGAGTGAGACTTCCACCTGAGACGTAATCACTCGATTCCGCGACTGAATCATGAGTGGTGCTATATCTTGTCTATGTGGGGGCTAATCACACTGCTAATCAGCCGCTCGTGGTCTAACGGTTGACTGTTCAACTACTAACAAAAAATTATCGGGTTCGAGACGCCTTGAAGTTGCGTGAGGTGCACACTGTTGGTGACCGCCGATAAGGGTGAAACAGCTGTACAGTGCTTCTCAGCCTTCCATCATACACTGGAGTCATTTAAAGGAAGGTACCTACATCGGAAAAGCCTTATTTGAATCACCGACACATATTTGGGATAAAAGCCCATGGCTTTCTACAGAAAAAAGGTGTGTAGGAAAAACGTTGACCTCCGATGGCTTTCGGAAGGGATCGAGGGACACATTCAACCTACATTGACTACTGAAACGCTTTGAGTAGCTGAATACGAATGGCATATTAGGGCCGGACCAGTTTCAAATGCCTCATCATCGACAGCATGACATCAGTGCTCAACACCAATGCTTCACTGCCGTACAGCCATGACTTATTTGAAAGCCTTATTGTAAAGAAAAGAATAAAGGTGGATGGGGGAGGGACTTAGTGCTAGCTTAACACAATCATTCCGAGGTGCCTACACCTCCAGACATTCATTCAGGCAATCTGGACAAAAACTGACAACAAGAACGCCACTGACATCGGGTGCCAGCCATATCTTGTAGTGTCTCCAACCAGGCAAAGTGAGGATCACGCGGTCCCCATC